TCCCCCCACCACCTCAGCCTCCACGTGCAGCCACTTGGAGCTAGTTCGCTCCCATTCACTGGTTCGCAACTGGAGCACAGAAACAGGCCCCAGGATGAACAGGAACAGATGAGACAGAAATAACATTAATATACATCCAATTTTGGCTTTTAAAAAAACATTTATTTCAGAATAATAATGGTAACATTTCTATCAAACCTGTAAGTGGTTTGTTCTCATATTCTCAAACATGCTGTGGCCTCTCTGTCGATGTGACTCCATGTAGGACAGAAACTCCTACAAATAAAGGAGAGGAGCCTGATGGGTGCAAATGAAAAGAGCAGGCGGCACAATCGCCCTTCCTCCAGCTCATATTGCACACACACATCAAATGTTCATAGAGATTGTATATTCATAATGGTATTGTTGTTTCTTCATGCAATTACAATGCATTCATACAATTACATCTGTTCTAAATTGCATTTACTGGGCAAAATAAGCTAGTGGCTACAGTCTTACAATAACCCTGTCTGGAAATGTAATCATTTGCTGGTGTGATCTAATTAACATAAACATTAATATCACTGAGCCATGCCACAGTCAATGGCAAGGTAAGTGTGTGCACCTATACTGCGCACAATTGTATGTGTCGATTAAAAGAGAAAAGAAAAAAATAAATAAAAAAATCCAAAACAGAGCCGTGTTGACACTGCAGGATGCTCGTGTTCAGCAGACACACTGGGATCATATTCTGACTGTTAACTGCTTCATTAAGCCCATCATCACAGCAGTGCTCGCTGAGAGACTAGTGAAACAACATGTGTCCATCTTCACAGCTGACCCAGGAAAGCCATTTAATTGACTGAATGAACATGCAGTAACTCTTTTTTCGATCAAGTTTTTATTTACAGATGCTAATTCTGTGCTTTGCAGTATAACCCCATGAATGCAATAATTGATTTCATGTACAATAAAAGAAAATAACTACTTTTGTATTACAAGAGATGCAGTGATTTCAGAGTAAAACCAGGCATAAAAGTTGACGACAAACTTTGACACACCCTCTGGAGAATGAAAACTGTTTCTCAAAATGACTGACTGCCTATCCAAATGAGAAGTTGTACACAGAAAGAAATAAAGGAGTAATTTGAGGAGAGATTATAGAAATATTACAGACAGAAAAGAGAGTAATAATGAAGTTTGTGAACTAGAGCCACGTTGTGACAGACAAACGGCAACTCGGCGTCATCATCTCCTAATTTTATTCCTTCATTTGAACAAACATAAGTAATATATAGCATTAATTACACTATTTAGCAGATAGGAACCTCATTGGCTTTTTAAATGCTGCATTAAATACATAACTCATCTCTTCCCTCTGCAATTAACATCAGAACATCACACTCATTTCCATTTTAATGACTTCCCAACAATACGCCACCTTTGATGATAAGGCAACATAATGTCAACTTCATTCTGGGCCGGCAGTGAATGTGTAATGAACTTAACGTGATCATTAGTGCTGTTAATTATCTTTCTAATATGAGGACACAGATATGATTAAGGAAAACTGCAGTCACTGAAGAAATAAATCTCTAGAAGGATTGCGCTGAAGCTTTACTGAGGACACAGTCTGCCTATCAGCCTCCATATTCTCATTCATTACCTACAGTAGGCTTTAACACCCTGTTTTTGTTCAATAAAAATAGATATCTGAGACTCAGAAACTACACTCCGCGCTCTGTAGAAATGCATTACTAAAGATTCAGTGACTGAAAAGAGACTCCCCATGAGCTCATGACTTGCCAAATAAAGGTCATAAGTTGATGATCCAGAAAATTAATGACTCACTTGTTTCTTCCTGAAAAAATGAGCAGACTGGCTGACCATTACTGATCACTTTTTTTGAACACTTGCTGCATACTGCAACCTACTCAGAGCAAAGTGGTGCAACACACTGCAGAAAGGGAGAAGGCAAGTGTCCCTCCCTCTTCTTCCCTGCCTCTCAGATGGAAAAACAATTCATCACCCTCTCTGAAAGCCTGTCAAAGACTGATATAATAAAGAATAACATCAAATGAATAATGTTTTCATCAGATTGGTACCATTATAATTGCCAAGCCGATTTCTGGTGGCAAGAGATGCTCACAAACAAGAACACGCATACTTTGTGGGGATGAGACAGACACACAGACGCGGTAATTTCATGCCTGTGTGCCTGAGTAATATGTCCCCGCTCCCTGCTCCAGATGGCTCGATGTCTTAAGCGTTGTGGGGGAACTAATGATGTGGGCCACGTGTTTCATGGGGAAAAAACAACAATAAACGTGTCTTTAACCTTCAGCAGCAAACAGTGTGTTGTAGCGAGTGTTCCCATGGATGGGCGTAACAGATATCAATTACTATGCCCACTCAGGGGCAATCAGCTGTGATAATCCAAATCCATTTAAAGAAATAATCAAACACCCCCACAAGGCTGGATGGCCCGCAACACAAACACAGCAGTGACTTTGGGATGAGTGTATGGGCACAGTGCTCTGGGATGCAGGGGCACCTGAGAAAAGCTAATGACTCCACACTCCTCACTGGGGAGGACAGTCACAAGTATGCACATCTCTCTGCCATGTCCTCAGCAAAAGAACCAAACAATTTATATTTATACTAAACAATTTATTTACCTCTGCTGTTACTGACTCTTTGCCTAGCCTGGCCCAAGCTGTGCGAACAGCACTGCTGATCATGTCAAATGTCTTCTGAGAACTGTTGGCAATCTTCTTCTTCTGAGACTCTGACAAGACATTTTAAAGACAAGGAATAAAATGAATAAACATGGACCCTAATATTTAGGCATTGTTTCCTTCTGCAGTTATTAATATAATGTGAGGTAACCTATGTGTAGCAGCCAGGCTTTGTGTGCTGTCTCCTCCCACAGAGGAGCAATATCATTCATGCTGACGGGCCCAGTGTCCGCTGAGTGGCCCGCTGAAATCTCTATTTTATACGTTTCTTCAAGTGTGCGTTGCCTCTCCACCATGACCTTTGACCAGCAGGCCTCCGCTAAGGACACTAATTCTCTGTCATCTAGAACAAAAACACACACACTTGCTCTGAACTTTCTAGACGCTACAAAAATGTCAGGCTACAATGATGCATGTAGATGAACCCTCACATGTTGGCTCTCATACCTGTAGTACCGTCTGCTCCGCTGCTGAGGCTTTCAGAATGCCTGGTTTTGGTAGCAAACACATGAGACAAAGCTTTCCTGTTGTGCACTTTCTGTGCCACGCATCCAAAACCCTCAGGGTAGCTAGAAAAAAAAGTAAGATAGTGTGACTCAATGAACTCTGGTTTCAACAAGTGTTTGGATATGCATTTAGATTTTGGTTTCAGTGTTACCTGCCAGATCGTATCAGTAAGAGGCAATGAAGAAAGCATGTAACAAAGTTCACATTTGAATTGTAAGTTGCCATGAACACATCCCAGTATTCCATAAAGGTCTGTAATGTCCTGATGACCCTTCCCTTTTCTTCTTGGGAATGTCGTGGTTGAGACAAGAAGTAAAGCAGGACTTTATTGTTGCACGAGTAGAGAGCAGACACTGTCTTCTCTTTCTGGGTCTGGCCTTTTTCCAGAGCCTAGAAGTACACAGCAGCATATCTGTCATCAGCAGGTATAAAACTGTAATATAATTCTTGACCTATGGGTAGGTTTGACATTTTCACAATCCAGAGCTCACACTTGTCTCCACATTAACAATTAACAGGATGCTTTTAACATCAATTTATAGATCACAAGAAATGACTTTTATGCATTTCAAATGTAAGAATTATTTTCCATATTGACTCTCTACAGTACATGAGGTGTGTGTATACTACAGCATAAATGTATCATTATGTTAACCTCACCACAACAATCTGATCTGCAAGGAAGTTGAGCAAACTCTCAGGGTCTCCCAGGAATGTTCCACTGTAAAGTTTCTTAGTGAGAGTCTTCGTAAAGAACACCACATTCTCCATCAGTATGCCCATCTGCCCTTCAGGCTTCTGGTTTTTTGAGTCTGAGAGATACAATACAAAGTCACACATTCAGATGGAAAAAGAATTTTCTGCACATGAACATGGTCACACTGTTATGAGAAAATCATGCATGGTATGTAGTCCTACCTTGTGAGCTGAGATGAGTGTTGTTTTCTTCCTCTTGGCTGAGAATGTGGATGATGTCCATAATCAACTCAAGAAGCTCAGTCTGGAAACTCTGCCTCTGTTCTAGTGATGCACCACTAGGGGAAAACTGTGGCATTTATGAAGAACAACAAATATGTGTAAACTTTCTTTCTCCTATTATATCAGATATAGAAGGGAACAACTTGTCTAATGTTGTCTCAGGTGCAGGTTTGTAATGTTGTTCACGTTGGTACGAGTGTACACAGGTTAGGCTTGGCTAGTTGAAAACAACAACACAGAAATCTGGAGTCCTTGGCCTATTGGCGTTCTCTCCATCCCAACAGTATTCAGTATTATTCAGTAACTGAGTAAAGACTGCCACCTTCTGGAGAAATGAGAGTTTTGCAGTATTATAGTAAACTGAAGAACCTTTTTCAGTGGGAGCGGATTTGGCAATAATGTGTGTGTTATACATAATTTACTAGACGTTGAGTGAACAAACAAAATATAGCAAACAATTGTCGTTTATGTGTGTGTATTCACCTCTAAGAGCAGTACAATAGGATGTGTGCTGGTGTTGGCAGAAACATTAAGCAGATTATCCATTAGCAGTATTCTGATGAAGTCACACACTGGCTTCCTGGTTTGATGAGGCTTGACTGTGTCCTCATCTTCATTTACACAAGGCTCTACCATGCCCTGAAAGAAGTGACCAAGTAAAGTGAATAATACCAGAGAGATTAGATGTTATGGTTTTATAAATGGACAGACACAAACCTCTGAACTGCCCATAGGGTACACAACTCTAGCGAGTGCATGGAGGAACTCTGGTGATGCCCACAGTGGGTCACTTGGCCGGAGGTTATGAAGAAGACAAAGGAACTGCATCACACTTGCTGGGAGCTGCAACTCCCATGATGCATCAGTGTCTGGCATGTGCTTTGCTGTGGTAACAGGCTGCTAAAACAAAAGAAAATATATTATACATTACCATTTCGTGGCATATTATGTAAGGTTATTGTGTTCTTACCTGAGTGATGATGACTTTGACTGTCTCCAGAAGTATTGTAACAGCTTCAGCACAGAGCTGCTGAGCAGGGGTTTCTGCTTGACTGTCAATCAGTGACTGTAGGATATCATCCAAATTCTCCTGTAGATGACACATGCAAGCGTTATGACAGGGATGATGAAGAAGATGATTTACAAAATTTAAGCATACCCACCTTCTCCTCTGCTGTGTGACGGGCCTTCTTTCCCAGCAGCAGTGCTGCCAAGGCCTCGTACACCTGAGGCAGGTGAGAGTGTCTGATCAGCAGCCCCTGTAGAACATCAAAACCTGGACACATGGTGCTGTGGCACTCATAAGACGAAGGAGGAGCTTGAAGGTTGTCTGGTGACAAGGCAAGAAATCAACGATAGGATAAAAGTAAGACACTTACTGTAAAATATTCTAAGAATAAAATGTTCTAACAATTAACTTTAAATTACTGTGAATTTAAGATGTTCAGCATGTCTAAAAATCAATATCACATTGCTCAAGCCATAATTTCTATATTAACATAAATCATAATGAGGCTTAATATGAAAGTTTATATTAAGTGATAATCTGCTTTTCAGTGTACTGCAGCCTACTGCATGTTGACATTTCTTAAAATTTATAAAACAGCTCTTTTGTTACTATTTAAATATAATTTAACACAATTTCATCTAATCCATTCAATTTGCACAAACAAACAAAAAAAATATCACAATATGATTTCACCAAAAGAGGCAAAATGTCAACATTTAATTATTTTGCTGGTTCACTGCATGAGACTATTTAGCTTCATCTACCCAAGACAGCAAAGGGTTCCTTCATGCCCTCTATCAGTGTTCCTGGGAGCACCCGCTCTCTGAAGCTGCTCTGCTGGCAGGGACTGGACAGAAGATGTGTGAGCAGGACAAGACCCAGTTTCAAGGTTGAAGGGTGAAGGTGTGGCTGAAGGAAGAGCAGGAACCAATCACTGCCCAAGGAATCAAATACAGCCTTCTGCTGACTAGTGGGAAACAAGAACATGACAGACTAATTCAGTTAACATTTATGGCAAGTGAAATATTGGGAAAATGTGTTTTCATTCCAGTTTTGGTTTAGCTAAACATTAACAGATGTGACTCACTCTTCATTTAGAAAGCTGTCTGAGTTGAGGATTTCACAGAGAGCGAGTAAAAGCTGGTTGCGGATCCAAATGAAGTTGGCTGGACCAGAACTCGGAGCTATAGCAGGACAAGTCTGGGTCAGTACCGGTAACAACTTGTCATCCGTGAGACACGTTTAAGAAATGGTTGTCTGTTATAGGCTGTACCTGGCATATCCTGGGCAAGATCACTGTCATTTATCTCTTTGCTTTCAGTCATGTTACTAAGAGGAGGGAGTGTGTAGACCAGAAAGAGCCCAAGTCTGATCAAATAAAAAGACATTTTAAATACGGATAAATTCCTATTAATCTAATATTTTTATGTGAAAATTGTATGACAGAGGAATTTTGTTTTGGCCGGTGTAATACCAGACTACCTGCGCATGTCCAGAGGGGTGAAGTGAGCTTTCAGGAGAGATGTGATGACACAAGAAATGAGCTTAACTTTCTCACCAGTCACAGCAGGCTCAGAAAGTTCAAATAGCAGGTGTGGTAGCAGCCCCATGCCTGCTGTATCCCTTCGGCTGTCACTGCTAAGGATACACAGAGAGAAACAGAGAGGGAATTAATATCAATCACAATCTGTTCCCACAGACAGATAATCTAATTCAGCAATCCATGCACATGTTCAGTCAGGCTCATCTCTTCAGCCTCTGTGACTGATTCTGTTGAACATTCCCTTGACTATTTATTGTACATTTCTGTGATATTGATGACAGGCTGCTGCAGATGTTGACAGATCAGTCAATGAATTCTGTCATCAATCCTGAACAATAGTTTTTTTTTTATTATTGTGTTATGTAACTCTCTGGCCATGCCAGTTAATATTAAATCGGATTATGTTGACTGTACAACATATTCTGTTCAGTCTGGTCACACACTGACAACTGTGGAAATTACCTGGATGATTTCAGGATTTCAGCAAAGTGGTTCAGAACTGAAAGCTCCAGATTATCTGATGCGTTCTTCCACACCTGAAAACATGGTATAATGAGAGGCCAACAAAAATATTTAGCTTCCGGATAAAATTAAAAACTTTCTAAATAAATACATAAAAATAATCTATTTCCTACAGTACATCCTCTGAACTTTTATGCTAAAATTTGGACGCTGACCTCCAGATCACACAGCAAGGCCTGGAAAGCAGGTTCATTTTGTATGAAACCAGACCCAGAGCTCAGTGCCACTGGACTCACGAGACAGAGAACCAGCTGAAAGGCTCTGTAGCTGATCAGGCTGCTCTTCATTTTCAGCAGAAAAGCCAGCAGCTACAGGGACAGCAAAAAAAAAAACAAATCACAAAAGTAAGATAGTGGAATTTGATGTCTGTTTATACATAATGTGTAGCTGCTCTAGTAATTTTATTCACGAGTCTCCACACCTTGTATCCACCAATGCGGCTCATTTCCTGTTGCATGGCAGAGTTGGTCTCCAGCACAGAAAGAAGAATTTTAATAGTTGCATATAGAGAGCTGTCATCTGGTGCCATTGCAACAAGACTGAGAACAACTGCAGGCCCACCCACATAGAGGAAACCATTAGATGCACTGCTAGGGGTGAACGTACGCACACCTATAAGGAAGAGGCCATGAGCTTAACAAATTTGCATGTAAAAAAATCAACCGAAGTGTAAATAAACTTGTCAAAATAACACTTTATTTACCAAAATGTCCAACCAGCGCTGCACCGATTGTGCGAGCTGTGCCACTCAGGTGCTGGCTGATGTTTCGAGCAAGGAACACAGGGGTGGAGTGATCCCGAGATGTTATCTCCATCTGTAATTAGGAGCAACGATTGCTACACTACTCCGTATAAAAACAACAAACACATAACCCCAGCATGCAGTCACATTACCTCTTTAGCAATCAGTCTACAGTCCACCTCATTGTAATCATCTCTGATCTGGGCAACATTTGTTAATGTAGAAACTGCTGGGTTGATGCCAAATGAAATCCTCCCCTCAGGAACCAGCCTATGAGGGACAGACTCAGTGTCTGAACTACAGCCTGGAGAGAGATGAGACAACCCAGGCCAGTAAAGTAGAAATGCCTTACACAAATAAAAAAAGTAATGTGTCATAATCCATATCATAAATGCTAATCATGTACAGTAATTAATTTACTGATTCAAAAATATTTCAAAGTTAACATATTTGATTTTACATTACACAAGTTGTAAAATTTAAGATCAACTTTGTCTCCAGACGGAAATTTGTTTTGACTACTCCTGCAACTGCACAGAAACACAACCCATAAACTCAGATAATCAACCCAGTATAACATGCAAAAGAATCCAAGAAAAGCATTTCCGCATGAAAGTATTCATTGTTTGGTATCAGTACATATGGTGCTCTTAAGAAATATTTTCTTCTAACTGTTCCCATTGTTATTCAAAAATCACAACAAAATACATTTATAAATTCAGTAAGCCTCAAAGGCTCATATCCAGGACAAATTAAGGGAAGAAGACAAAAGATAGTCTTTAGAAATCTTGAGAAACTCTTGCACAAAATCTTGTGGTATACCTGTGTTGCGCAGAGCCAGGAAGTTGCCCAGATAGGCGGTGCCTTGATTGTATATGGCATCCACAGCGTCAGAGCTCAAAGCCTCTTCAAAAAGGTAGGAAGGACCCACTCGCCACACTACAGCAGCATGCTCCTTCCAGAGAGCTGGTGTTCCTATCAGTCCGTACACATCAATCACAGCTGTGGGGTCCATGGAGACATACTGACCAGGGAATGGCTGAATGTACCTCATCTGACAGGAAGTGCAAGAATTTTCAGAAAGAATTTTTTTTTATTTTTTTTTGGAAAGAAGATATGGCAGATGCTGGCTGCTAGATTTTATCACTTGTTTGTTGCTGAGAACATGATTATATAACATGAACAGGCATAACATCTTCATACATAGTGTAAATGCCACATTAGACCTAGTTTAGCTCTTCACTTGCTCTCCTCTTCCCTTGTCATACCTTTCCTGTCCCCACGGCTTTGCCATTGAAGTAGGCTGAGGTCACACAGCTCTTCTTCACGTCTTTGGCCATGACCACAACCAGATGGTGCCACTGACCTGGGACCAGCGCACTGGAGCATCGGAACCTCAGTGATGTAGTCAAAGAACTGGATGTGCAAACTTCTGGTTCCATTGTATCTGTTAAACAAACATGGAGAAAGACATTCAGTCAATCTCTGCAATATAAAGTAATGACTGTGTAGGCCCACTTTAAAGACAATAATAAGAAATAGCTGTTATTTCATAAGAAAAGCTACAAAGCTACTGTATACAAATTCTTCTAATTATATAACGTCCAGTAGCTGTTATGTAAAGTTCACCCAGGATAAATATTGACCAACCTATTTTCACTTTCATTTGCAGATGACACACCTGTAGTTGGCCTCATTACCAACCAGGATGTGGCCAACTACAGGAGTGAGGTGTGCCAGCTGGTACAGTGGTATAGGAACAACAACCTCTTCATCACACCCCGCAACCCACATCAGAACATAAAAAGATATAAAGAGACTACCTCTGCTGTTGCACAAACTCAATACATTTCCCCTTTTTTGTTATATTACAGGTTAATCCGCTGCTGACTGTTGTGGAAACAAACAAAAAAACTACCTCTTCTGTTTTACCGTCTGTTAAATGTAAATCTGCTGCTGTTTTCTTTTGCCGGGATATCTGCTGCTGTTGGTCATTTACAACTGTCCATGTATACCTAATGTGTTATTTGCACCTCATCACCAACGCCCTGGATGATGCTGAACCATCTGCTGTTATTGTTTGCACTACTGTCACTGACTGTACACAGCTTATTGGCTGTACTGTTTAGATTTCTCCTAATTACATCAATCCAGTTCTTATTCTGTTCTATTCTATTCTATTTTTTATTTTACTCTATTTTAGTTCCTAAATGTTATGGCACCCAATACTAGGTGATTTCGATTTTCTGTATGTCCTTGAACCTTCACTCTTACCCAAGTATGTAAATGTTTCCTCCTCTGTAGAGATGACCAGACAGCCATCACAGGCTGAGAAGGAGACTGACAGACAGATATAGTGTTGTTCAGTCCGAGACATGTGACGAACCACCGACAGTAGACGGATTGGGTGTGAGTCACAGGCTGAACTAAACCTGTTGATCTGGAACCAGCAGGAAAATGAGACACCAGCTGTAGGGGGAAATCCCCGGCAGTCTAAAATATGAGGAAGATAAACATTTTATTCAGATTTAGTTACAAATATGTGAGAAGGAAACACTTAAGACTCATCACTTACCTCCTCCAATTCCACCTGTTGAGATTGAATCGGCAGTCACTCCTTTCACTGTGGCCAGAGAAGGCAGGAAAAGGCAACTGCAAAGAATACAGCCGCATGTCACAAAGGTAGTGACTAAATAATACTCTACTAAAATAACTTCCATCGAGTCATTTAGTCTAATCTAAGTCAGGCTGCAGGACTACACAAAGACCCAGTAAAACAAAAACTCACCCATATCCACTCTCACTCATGTCAAACTCTACAAATGCTGGTGAGGAGGAGACTCGGTGAGGTCTGAAGCTGCGTGGTGACACCATGGACACCAGACTGATGATCTGGTGGACAGGGATTGCAAAACCAACAGAGGACTCACTCTGACTTGTAGACTGTAACAAGCTGAAGCTTCGATTCATTGTTTTTAATGAAGATCCTGATGAGACCTGTGCCTCCGTATTGTGACCTGGTGGAAACACAAAATGTAATATGCGACCTGCTTTGTGTTTGTGTTTGAAAGTTAAAACATCAAAAGCATTCAATCTAAAATGCTTTATAAAAGCATGCAGGAAACAACAGTATCACCAAACATATATGTACCGTTTGAAACAGGAGATTGTTGTGATTGCTTCGCCGTTTTGTCTGCCAAATATTTAAGAGCCTGTCCTAAACATATGAACTTTCTGAGAAGAAAGAAGGGAGGACACATCAGATGGACTGACTTGTTTGCACAAAAGCATTTTAAATGCAACCAAATAAAAATGCTGAGTATGGAAGGCCGAGTATGTCTGACCTGAAATCTGAATGTGTGATGGACTGGGAGGAAAGCTTCTCCAAGATACGTGTAACAGGCAGATGTAATGGGTGGTTTGGAGCCAGCAACATGTTCCGACAATGGATCAAGAGTGTGGAAACCAGGCCCCCCTCACACAATATCTGGCGGTTTCGCTCAGGTTTGACAACAGCTTGGATGTAGTGCACCAGCGACAACTGGACTTCCATAGAGAGCTGGAAGACAGAAAAAGATATCCGTCTCATACAGGGGCCCTATCATGTACTGAATAATATACTAAATGAGGCACTGTGACGTGTTCAGTGTAAAAAGATACCTGTGTGTCTTTTGGAGTGAACACTGATGGAAGGAGAGTAATTATAACTCTGAGGGCTCCTGGATGAGGAATGATATGCTCACAGGAGAACCGACTGTAAGAGCAGCAAAAAAAAGACCAAACCAAGACAAATTGAGGTTGGGCCTTATATGAGCACATGTAGATTCTCCTCAGAGACACCACTCATCACCACAATTTAGATTTGAATGTACTGCAGAGGAAATTCATCTAATAGGAATATGGCTGAGTCTTCAAGCTCTATAGTTCGAAATACATACCTGTACTGATACTCTGTGGAGACTGAGGAAATACTGGATGCTGTGTTCCTGGACCTTCCCTGTGTGTCCTCCAAGAACTGCCTACCTGATGCCAGGAGTCTGTTGTCTGTATCTCTACCACACGCATCCTCAGACTCTGGTCCCAAGTTGAACTCTTGATGAGAGTAGGTCCCTGTGGCAAATTGGTCGAGGCAAGAGAGCAACCTTATACATGTCCGAAGAGTGACAGGCAGATTGGGTTGCAGTGGGGTGGAGGGAGAGCAGGGAGCATCAGAGGCCTCTGCTAACTCAACAAACTGGTGGAAGCTCTTTCCAGGAGACTGGTCATCTTGTCCAGTCTTGGAACAGAAGCCCTCCTCTTCATCCCACTTCTTTTTCTCATGGTCTCCAGTGTGAAAGCAGCCCAGATGGAGCAGAGCTTCGGCCAGTCTTTCATAAAAGCCACTAGTCTCAAAATGGTATGCATTTACTGTGTGGAGATGCACAGCCCGGGCCAGGATATGGAGAGTGAGGAGGAGGAGGTCCAACAGTGGTTGATGTCCCAGGGTCTTCCACACTTCTCCCTGAGGAGGGTCAGACAGAGCTCCTTCCATATCGATCACTAAATACAGCAGTCCAGTGAAGCCTCCTGCTCTCCTAAAGGCGTCCCAACTGTTGGGTCTCTCCAGAACCTTCAGTACAGACTGAAATACAGGAGAGGGGAGTCACACAGGCCATTTGGACAGCCAGAAACTTAATCATGCATGTGACAAATCCTTTCTTGCTATACTTTGACAATACTTTAATAGACACACACTGTGTTCAAAGCCTCTGACTTTTAAAAGCATCTCCCTAGTCAATTAAAACAATGTCATGAAATATAGATGAAACATATAGATATATCATTAATCATTTCTGGTAACTAGTTTTTGGAGGTGAACACAATCACATTAGCTTTATTTAATTTAGAGAGCTAATCCATCAGGTAGGTAATGTGAGGCAGAACGCAGAGGGAAATGTGATTAACTGAAACTGGAGTAATAACAATGACTCTCAACACTTGCCAAACCAGGTCGTACCCAATCTGATTGCCACCTGCTTTAACCATGTTAGCACAAAGAACACACACACACAAAGAAGCTCCTGCATGCATGCACAAACAAGTACGTGTGCACACGTACACACATAGTGAATACACATGATATCTGCAAGTGCTCTTTTTGTGGCCATCTATAAAAACGGACACATACAATAGGTGTGTAACTTAGTTAGGCTTAATCGGATCTTTGTCCCATTCACTGATCTGATAGAGGTGGCAATCTTTAGAGTGCCACAGCACAAGGCTGCTAGCCTAATCAAATTGGTCCAGAGTTAACAGCTAAACCTGTTTTAGCAAATCAATCTGCATTTGTCTATAATGTAATCACGGTCCCACATGCTAAGAAAATAAATTCACTAGCTCATTATGTTTTAAGTGCATTACAATTTGTTATGATTTGATGTAGAGTGGAGACTACATTTACAGTTGAGATCATTGCTTCTGGGTGTGTATGTGCTGTTATCTGTGGTTGAGGGTACATGTAAAATTTAAGTACCTGCAAAAGGTCCCACTTCAACCTAAGTTCCTGCTGTGTAGAGGAACAAAGGGCCCCTATGCCTGTACTCATGAACTCCTCAGGGTTAATCTCAGCTAGCTGCTCCAAAATGTTCAGAGTGGGCGCTCGATACTGATCCTGATCCAAGAAGATCTTTATGTAGGGAACCATACCAAGGTCTCGCACTGAAACTGGAATACATATGAAATACAGCACCAGTTTCTAACCTTAACATAACTGAAAGAAGCACAAAATTATTACAGACTGTGACAGGTTGAGGAATTTAATTTTAAAAACTGGACATAAAGGAAATGAATGTGTATACCTATGTTCTTGATCGAACGCAAAGTGAGGCTTGACACAACTTCAAGCATACAGGCAGTGAGACGTCTCTCACCGTCTTCCACACATGGCAGCTGCTGGGGATCTAAACAGCACAAGAACTTCAGAAGCAAATTACAGTGTAAACACATAAGATGAGAAGTAGTTTTTCTACTGGCTGCTGAGCCAAACTTGTCGGCGAAGGAAAATTGTCAACCTCACTCTGAAAACAGAAGCATGAATCATGACTGTGTGTGTTGCTCAATCCCCAGTTTAATATAGTAACATGCTGTTTTGCAAATCACTGTCTCCTTTTATTAGCTGGACAACCATGATTACACAAGACATTTGAGGAAATATATATTTTGATTCATACTTATTTGAGCGGAAGAGACAACTCCAGCCTTCCTGAGGATTTTAGCTCTCTTACGAAGTTCCCCGAGCAGCAGCTCCAGCAGACCCCGGTCACTCAGCACCTCATCTAGCACACCACTGTGCACAATCATCCTAGAGAGCGGAGGAGAAAAGTTTTATTCAGCCTACATCAAGGAAACAATGAGGAGAAACAAAGTATTTTCCCAGCAAATACCACTTGTGGTGCTGTCGGTTAATAATTTTAAATGAAATATAGGATTTTTATAACTACAACGGGCAACTTTATACTGTCCTGCCTGTCCTGTGTAAATCTGTACCTATGATCAGACCAAGCTGCTGCAGCATCATCTGGAGAAGGTTATGTTTTTGACTATTTCTTAATTAAACAAGCTTTATGAGTGTACTTGTCAACTGAGAGGAGAACAATAAATTCCGACTGCTATAGCATTAAAGGATACATTTAGGTCAAACCTGGAGTATTCTGAACAATTCCGAGTACTATGTAACCAACTGGCAGTGCCCACCTATGAAAACACTTAAGAGCCACCACTCCGAACTCGATTCCTGCCACCTCTCCAGCCACTGTCCTAGCCCAGATCTGCTTCAGTACATTCAGCACTGCACGCAAGGTCTCATGGGGGATGTAATTCATCTTAAATACCACCTGTAAGAAGCCCAACATTTAATCAGACATGTTGTATGAAATAAAAAGCACACACGAGCTTTGCTGTCAACATTAAAAGCCATACCATCTCTAGAAGTGAAAAGAATAGTTTTTGGACAGGTGCTGGTTTATGCCATACACTGGCACCCAGCTGGGCCATCGACTGGACAGTCCACTCCAAAAGGAAGAAGTTAGCTGGGTCCCTTTCCCATATTGTTTGCAGGGTTCGAAGAAGCTGGCAGCACAGCAGAGAATCCTGGGAACGCAGCAGGGATGCCTGCAGCAGGTGGAAGGCCTGCAGGTTCTTTACTGTTGAACCTGGAGACAAGGGAGATGAGAAATGACAAAAGTATCAGATGTTTCAGCCCTTTAAAACGGGTCATATTGACTAGAAAATGGTCTACATATTTATCTTACCTTTTTTGTATTGGGGGATATCATACTTTGTATTAGTTTATGGCATACAGTACTGCAGAACAATATTAGCCTGAGGTCAACTTAGCCAAAAATGTTTTGAATTTAAGGCTCAATTTATCAGTTTTTGCTCTGGCAAGGTCAAACATATAAAAAGGAAAGCTAATAAATCAGAAACCATTAACAGAGAGCACACAGTGAAGCCAACTGACTTACACATACATAAACAGGTTGGAAACAAACATAATGTGCATAAGCGAAAAAATAAAAGTAGCATAATCTGCTTTGATAGAGTTTGTTTGCTACACTGTCAGAATATTTAGAGGAGCTCATAGATTTCGGAGCCAAAACACTCTTGCATTTGTTGTGAATAAATTTATACCTGATTAGTTATAGGATTCATTTTCACCCTTAATCAAAATTGCATCAAAACCAAATAAGATCAGGTCCCCCTTCTGGAAAGATATCTACTCCTCATGCTTGTGCTGAGTGTGTGTGTCCGTGCGTATGTTTGGATGGGCTTGTGTGTGTTTATTATGGACACTCTATTTATGAGTGTTGGATGGAGGAGTGTGTGAATCTATGATAGATGGCTGGTTGCTGTAGGCCAGTAGAGAATGGATGTGGGGCATCCTAACAGAGTTAGAGGGGAAGCCTCCACTTCATCATCCCAGACATAATCACCTCAGCTTCCTGTTAACCTGAGGGGTGTTGTGCACTGCAGCAAGGTAGCGGTCGGGGAGTGGGAAGCCAGAGTGTGTGGGAAATCAGGGAAAGGAGGTGGTGCAGTTTGGGTGGGTTATATAAGGGCAAGGAAAAAATAAATAAAATGCGTTCATTTGGGGTGACCCGTTCCACTCCCTAGTCCTAACTGCTGAGCGATGTGAGTGAAGACAGATAATGCATTTGGAAGGGATGGTTTGATTTTTTTTCCTCATGGTACAATCAAACAGAATTTGTGGTGAAGACTTGACCTACCTTTGGTGATTGGAGGATCAAACTTAAGGCCTGGAAGCTGGGGGTTGGTCACACAAAGAGCTACTTTCAGCTCGGTTTTTCCAAGCAGGGTGAGATCTGCAATGAGAGTCAGCAACTCCTCCACATGCTGAAACTGATCCGTGGACATACCTTCCTCACAGCTTATGATGGCATAACAAGAGACCAAAAAGGTAGAGTTAAATGAATAGCAGAGAAAAATAAGCTCATCTGTACTTGCTAAAAGAGCAGGCAAATTACATTAATAGAATTTATTGCACCCTTTGAAGGAGATGTTTATACCATGAAATTCCATTTATTTCTCTGAATTCTTACCATGGAAAAAATACCAAAATCTAATTGATGTCTTTTCATTTCTTTAAATAAGTATGCCCTCTTTGACTGAGTCGTATTTACTACTAACCCTACTAACTCCTTCTATCTCACCATTTCAGAATGTTCTCAAGGGCCTGGTAGCCATTGTTGGTGTCAAACTCGATGAAGAGGGACGGACTGAGTGGATAGGTGTCTATAATGAAGCTAAACACAGCCACGGCCACCTCGGCTAGCAGCGGTCCTGGGACATCAGCACTGATCTGCAACAGGTTCTGGATGCAGATACGCACACAATCCTTATCTAAAAAAGGAAAGGCAGCGTTGTTGGTTAGTGAAGTATTAACTGTTCAGAGGTGTACACTATATCAAAACGATAGGATCTACACGCTCACTGTTTCCAACTCAAGAAATGGATTGCCACAAACAAGTAATGTTTCAAGTCTCCTTTTCTTCACCAATACTGTAGTAGTAGAATAAAATCTTTCACTCTTAGCCCATCTTCACCCAGATTTAACAAAGAGCTATGCAATGATTCTACAGCAAAAAGCTACAGCATCATTCTGGAAAATGTTGATACCTTGATGTCCAAAAACTTTGTTATCAGAATAGTGTAGTGAATCATGCATACATGTGTTCCTCTTTGCTGGGATGTGCAGTCATGTGTCTCTGTGTGATCAAGTCATTACTGGGGAAAAAAATACCTGTCTGCACAAATAAACTTCCATAATAAAATCTAATTCTAAACTTTCTGTGTCATCGGTGGAATTGAGCCTATTTTAACTAGGAAGTAGAACCATATAGGTGAAACACAAATGTTAATTATTCCAATAGTTTTGAGGTACCTCACCTAGCAAGCTTGGGACAGTGTTGCTTGTCGCTACAGCAGAGATGGCCTTGAGGATACGAGAGGCCTGATGCCTCCAGGCAGTGCTGGTCTGATCCCATAGTGATGTGAGGCCAATGATAAGACATTGCAGTTCTTGAGTCTCCACCATTTTCTCTACATTGACTGGATGCCTACAAAGCTGAAGGAGTACCTAGAAAACAGCAGGGGGAAGAAGTGAAGAGTAACAAAAGCCAGTGAAAGGAATAGAAGCAACACAGACAGACAACTGCAAAGGACAGGAAAACGCAAAGAGTAAACAAAACTGTAAAATGACACTATTTCCTCAACTAACCTGCGTTAGTGGCTCCTGAAAGGTCTCTTCTATGGCAATGTTGTCCTTCTTAGCTGGAAGGCACACTAGCAAGTACAGACATTTCACTAAAGCAGCAGGGAGCTCTGGGGTTATGGAGGACAATACATCCTACACACACAGAGAAGAAAAAAATGTTCACATCTTGAAGCATTATCTAAAAATAATGAAAAATGTCCTGGCAGGTTGGATTCCACTTTGAGTCAAGCTGGAGGCTACTAATATGGAAGACACTCACCTCTATACAATATACAATAACACTGAAATTACTGATCAAAATACAGTAAGGAGTGGGATATACTACTGCTCAATGAAGCTTGGCTCACATAAACCTTCCTTGAACAGTGGTTTCAAATTCTCAAATACACTAAAGTAGTTTTCAGATTGTTGTGAGCGCCATGCTGTTGCTGCTGGACACACCTGACATTTATTAGCTGCTGTTTCCTTGGCACCCGATAGTGGTTTTAAATTAAAACTGAAAGCTTAAAAAAGATCCACTATGTCCTTTTCAGGAGTAACTTTACTCTTGTGTGCTCTCAAATGTATTTACAGGTATAATACTTATAATGACCCATGTTGTCCTAGTTTTGGGAATTGACATATTGTGAATCTATGTGTGGAATTTATACATATGATCAATATGATGCAACATTGTCCAGACAAAATGTGGTTATAAACCTTAAATTCCACTTACAGAACTATCAGATGTGAACAGCAAAAGGGACTTTAACAGCAACCATCCTGGACTTTCTCCTGTTTTAGACTGTGTCCCCTCAGGTGGCCTGTGGAAGAACCATACCACCTCCTCACGAGCCCCCTCTGAAAACACAAAAGACTCTATACATTTACTGAGCCATGACTCCAGAGGACTAAGAGGTCATAAACAAGTCCAAGACTGGTTGTAAAATGGTTACGGAGTAGGAAATAATTACTGCATGCACAACGTAAGAAACTCTGAACCATGCCTAAAAAACAGAAGTATCTACTTCCCTAGAAACTCACTTTTTCTTTCTAATCTTCAGAAAATCAGTACTGTGCATAAACAAAAACAAAATGGAGTAAAACGAGAGAGCAAGAGCCATCGGTAGATCACTAACAGCAGAGAAAGAATCCCAGCCACAAGAAACTGACCATGTACTGGCTGTTGCCACTTTTATGAACTTTGGCTTTCCATTTTCAATAAAAAGACACAAGCAACATTTACACTGTGAAAAAACACTGAAGACTGAAAAGAATCATAGCACACTTGTAAAAGCAGAAGTAGACAGAGGAGGTAGAAAGTCCCTCCCGTGCTGTATGTGTTAGTACCTGCAGTTCTTTCTGCCAGTCTGTTGTGGATGTTATAAATGACAGCGTCAGCAGTAAGAACAGCAAGCCCCGTCATGTCCAAACCTTCAAGTCGAACACCATCTTCACAGACCTGGGATCAGAGAGGAGTGTGACACTGACTGTAGAAAATAACAGCACCTGTTCTGAATCCTTAAGATAATACACATGGATACTATTAATGGTTGATACTACTGCTGTAAATCAGTAAATAACTGAAAATGTTGTTTTATTTATATTATACTTATGAGGTTTTTCTAATATGTTGTCCATCCCATATATGATTAAATTATTAAACCATGTTTCATCAGGCTGTGATACAACTCACCAACAGCCTCCAAAGTGACAATAGATTTGATTCCACACTTCTCAAAAGGAGTTGAAACAAAAACAAAATGAAATGTTATTGGTTTTATTACAGGCTTGTTGTATTAAACTGGATTAATAAGAACTACAGTAATACACTGGCAAAATTTAACAGTAATGTAACATGCAACTAATGGCATGTTTGCTCACTGAGTTGTATTAGACCATCCACTCAATATTGTCTTTTGTAAAATCCTTCATGTAAAGTTTTCAGGACTTTATCCACTACATACTGTATCTATACATTATGATAGGCAGTGAAGTGGTGTAATCACATTATAGCTGGAGCTCAAGTGCTCTGCTAATGCACTACACTATAAATAATAGAAGCCAGTGTGTACTACGGTATATGCTCTTTTCAGTTCCGTAAGAGGATATCACATTTCCCTGAGTTTGCTGTTCTTAAGTGAGGCTCTGCATTCTGGTCAAATTCCTCAACTTGAGGCTTACACATACACCTACACAGAAACCAAAGAGCAATTACATCCGCATACATAAGCCTGTGTGCATGAGCTACACAAACACACAGATCAGTGATGGAATTTACAGCATGTGCGTGAGTAAAAGGAGACAGGAGGTTACTTGTTAGTTGTGACACAATTCAGGCCTAAAGCTAGAGCTGAAGCTCTGTTGTGTTTCATGTGACTGTAGCTTAGGGCCCAACATCTGACTGCTACCTCGTGAACCGTGGCTCCACTTGATGGTCTATAGTTATTTGTTTAAAAGACTTTTACAATACAAAAATGGCTCCCTTCTTTCAAAATGGACAATAAATACCTCCCTCATTTGATTAATGAACTGCAAACCATGAATCTTAAAATGATAAATGGATGAACAGTGGGAGATAAATAGGTGTGTATATATATATATATATATATATACATATATAAGCTAAAAGAGCTAATAAATCAGAAGCGAACGAGGATGTTGAGGCAGAAGAGGATTATATTTCAGCGGCGCAAGTAACAGAGATGTTGAGTCAGCAGAAGCAGATGTACACCGCACTGTTGAGCCAACAACAAGACAACTTCAAAGGTTTTGTGCAACTACTTATGGAGACAAATAACAAGAGACTCGACGACATGACCAGAGAAATACAGGAGATAAAAACGAGTTTGCAGTTTACCCAGCGAGATGTGGATGTGATTAAAGCAGCCATGGGTGAACAGAAAATACAAACCAAGGAAACAAGGGATGATGTCTACAAAACTTG